ACTACACTAAAGGCATTTAATACACTGTATCAGTTCAGTTGCTTTATATATCAGATCTTTGTTTCAAATAAAGTGCTGAATTATTTGCCTTCCCTGTGCACAAGTACTGTAAATAAAACTTCAAAATTACTTGTGCCAAGAGGTTGCTTGGGCTTCTATTCTTTTGAAACTCTTCTTATGCAGATTGTGGCCTGCACAAGTCAAATAGAGAAATATCAAAACAAGTCAAATAGAACACTGACTGTCATACAAACCTTGTTTGTAAATCATGCTCCAGCTGTCTTGAACATAAGGATGAACTGTTAATCACACCAGATTGGTAAACATCTTCATAATAAGATCATCCTTCTCTTTTTTTTGTGGTCTGACAGAAGGGACACAATGTTTAAATTTCCTTGGGAGTCTGAGTTACGTTTCATGAGCAGTTGAAATTGGCACTTCTCAGATTGTTGGAAGCAAACCCACTCAACTGCATTTGATGAGATAGGGGAAAGAGCAGAAGTAAAATTGCAGAACTAATCTTACTGTATGTGTAACCAAAATGCTAATGAAGAGTTACAGGTGACTTCCAACAGCTCTGTGAAAATTGCCTCCATTTTGACAGAATTTAAAGCCATGGGAACAGAAAATGGTGAGGGCTTTGGTGTTTAATTCTCTATGCTCCCTGGTCCATACCTGGATTCTTGTCTGAAGATCTGTCAGTTCAGCCTGGTGGGAAACATTCCTGTCTCTGCAGCATTCTTTTGAGATAACTGAAAATATACCCCATTGCTTTGCAGAAATTGGAAGATTTAGCTCATTTAGTCTGTAAGCCTTATTTTAATCATTCCACTGCCCTAGTGCAAGTACACATTTTTGGATTTTTTTGTAAGAGTATTTGATGTTTGCAGCTTTGCTGGAAGCTTTTGTCATAGACTCCCAGGGGTTTTAAATGTCAAACATTCAGAGGCTGTTTCTGAGGCAGTGACTATGGGGAGTGAAACCTGAGTGTGTTTCACTGTAGAGGTCCCTCTCGCAGTCCTTTGTCAGGTGTCTGTTGTCAGTGCTGGTGCTCTGTGGTCTCTCCTGTGCTGAGTGGCGGCTGTTCCTGTCTGGCAGCCAAGGCCCACCCATCCGGGCTGGGGGGAGGATCGAGAAGGCAGGTTCAGAGCAGCTCTTGGTTGCAGATAAAGCTCCTGGGCAGAGATAAAGCCAGGTTAATAAGTTAAGGGAAAAAGAAAAAGGCAAATGATGCAGAAGTGATCACTCACCACCTCCTGGCAGCAGACCAGTGCCCAGCTAGCCTCTGAGTGATGGCTGCTTTAACTAAATCCACATCCCGCCACTCCTCCCCAGTTTTATTGCCACGCATAGAACTTTAATGACATGAGTTATGCCTTTAGTCAGCTGAGCTCCATAATTGTGGCTGTGCCCCCTCCCAGACTCTGGCAGACCCACAGCCTGCTCACCAGTGTGAGGAGTGGAGAAGGCCTCGAGGCTCTGCAAGTTCCCCCACAGGCATCATGCTGGTGTGTAATCCATACTGCTTTGGTCACCAATCTGTACCAGGGTACCACAGGGCTGCTGTGGAAAAACAGGGCCCATCCCAGCCAGACCCAGACCGTATGGTTGTGGTGACAAATGAAGTGTGATTGTGGATACTCATGTCTGACTTTTCCAGGCCTGTGTTGAGCTATACTTGTAAGAAAATGTAAAAGAGGACAAAAATTAAAATAAATTGTACAGAATGGACAAATCATAGTGACTTGCTGAATTCCCTGCTCAGATTAGGTGTTGTGCCCCCATGCATGTGCATACACATAAATATCTACTCTTATTAGCAGGATTCATAGTGGATAGCTTTCATCAGAGCTAGTCTTTGGCAAAATGATGCTGGTGCTATATTGGGGTTACAATGAAAGTATTTTTGGTAGGATATTATGATTAGTATAGCACATCAATTATTATTATTAAAATGTCACAGGATTTCTACAAAACAAATTAACATTGTGCAAGCTGTAAGTAGTGTAATACAGAATTTGTAATAAATTTAGTGACTTGAACCCTGTGTAGATGTCAAGTCAAATCTTAGTCCATGCTTTGCTCTATCAATATAGCAACTATAATTAGACTCTCAAAACATATAAAAGAATAAGTCACTCCCTCCATCCTCAGAGGATGCAAACAATGGTGGAGCATCCCTGCTGCTGGAAGTTGATGGGTTTCACTGTCTGTCCAGCAGCAGCTCTGGTTCAGGTCCCCCCCTTATGCCTCATAACTGGTTGGATCTCTAGACCGTGGGCTTCTGCACTTCACCTCCCTCTTCCATGGGGGCCTGGTGGGCCAGGGGCCTGGGACCCTCCAGGACAGTAAGGAGGGGAGCAGTCACCTTGTGCCCAGGAACCTTGAGGATGGGAGGGAGGAGAAAAAATGGTTTGTCTGGGTTTTCTTCTGGGTTCACACAACCTTTAGGGCCTGAGAACAAGGTGATGGGTAATGAAGATGTGATCCACTCAATGACAGGTGATGGCTGCTTGCCTCATGAACTGGCATTAACGAAATCCATGAGCAGGTGTTGAAACAGGGTGTACTGGTGGCAGTGGCACACATCAACACTTCACTTCTAGAGTGACTTTTCAGGGAAGGCAAGAATGAGGCATGTGCCAGTGTTGCTCAGCTCTGAAGAGACCCCTGATCCCACCAAGGCTTGCAGGAGTAAGGTTCAGAGAACAGTGGTGTGAAAGCAAAGGGAAAATCTGGCTCCAGGACAGGCTCCAGATCAACCAGGGAGAAAGGTCACAAGGCTGGGAGTGGAAGCCTGCACCACTGTAAATGGCAGGGCTCTGGACTTGGTTAAACAAGTAAAAACATTTGTGCTATGATGTGTCTGCAACTATATAGACAATATACAATATATATACACTATACAAAATACATTCCTATTGCATATAGGTGTTTTGCATGTATAAATATACATACATAGAGGGAGACAAGAAATCAATCCTTTTCAAGTGCAGTTCATGACATTAGAATCAAAATAATTTCTATTGAATAGTAGCCCTCACAGATAGATATGTCATGCACAGTTGTCAAAAAGGCAGTATCAAGGTCCAAAATAAATGAAAAAATATGTCTTATGGTCTTTAAAACTCCATAAATTGACATGCATGCATTTCTAATGTGAGCTATGTTACAGTAGCTTGCCTGCCATAATCTTTAGCCTTTATTTCATATGGAGCTGATTTCCTGCTATGTGATTTGTTTGGGTCCAGCAGTGTCAGAGTTTCGTGTTGTCCTGCAGGGGCTGTTCCAGTGCTCCCTCAGTGCTCTTGCCTGAAGAGGACTTCATAAACCATGGCAGGATTGCCTACATGAAATATGAAAAAAGGCTGGCAATGTCATCACCAAGAAGCAGGATTTGAGGATATACCACTTACAGGTGCCAAACTTCTTCTGAACCTCCCAGTTTTATGATTTGCCACCACTTTCTCCATTGCTGTGCTCCATCACTTCCAGCATTACTGCCTTGGCACTTCTCCTCATCATCCCTCAGAGAACAGAAGGAATAATGTCTGTGGTTACTCTGTCTTATCTGCCCATGAGGAAGGGGCAAGCAGAAGGGACACAGTTGCAGTGCTGACCCTGGAGAACTTGGAAAATAGCTCCATCTTATTTCAGCCATTTCAGGATGCTTTCTGTCTCCCTTGAAGGTAACTCACTTTCAAAAACAAGAGTGCTGGGCACCTTTGCTTTGAGCAAACAATTTTAACCTGTTGTAAACCAGTCAGTCCTGGTACTGAGGTAGACTGGGGCAGCCTGAGTTTTCAGAAAAGGCAGTGTCTGTTTCTGTGGTATTAGGCCATATCTCAGCACCCTGGGCAGTTGGGGTAGGCTCTTAATGCAGATCTGTCAGTGTGTCCTCCCTCACCAGGCCTTCCCTAAGTGCTTCCTCTGCCCTTCTTGTTGGCCAGTCTCCTCCCATGCTGTCTTCTATTTATTTTTTTGGTTATTTTTAGTGACCACAAACACATTTCTGCAACACCTATCAGCAACTTCCATTTGAAAATTCAACTTATGTATTTCAAAAACTGAGCAAGATAACTGGCTTTCTTGAATAATTTTGTGGGCAAATTATGCCATGTAACTGAACGCTATTCATAGCATATTAGCTATGAATAGATGGAGTTGTAGAATTCTTGAAATCAGGCTCAGCATTTTAGAGAGAAGACATTGCAGCAAGACTTTAGGCCTGTAAGTAAGCTTATCAAGATTTAAAATAAACACAGTGGAATCTTGATTTTAATAAATGTGATAAAGCAAACTCCTGTAGAGAAAAGGAAAAAAAAAAAAGGAAATCTAATTACAAGTCCACTGTCAACCAAATTTATAGATGTAGGATTAAAACAATTAAGGACTCCTGCTTTATTTTAAATTATTTTCCTCACTCACAGCAGCGATAATATATATATCTGCTGTTACCAGTAGGCCCTCCCAACACGTGATGTTGTAGGAAGCACTTTTCTTTCAGTTACTTTGTCTTTCAGAGGAGGCAAGGGATTTTGTGCAACTTCTGAGGGAAACGGAACTTTTAAAATCAGTAAACTAGTAACTCCCTGTGCCTCTAAAACTCAAGTTACAGTTCAGAAGTCCTGGATTTCTGAAAGCTCCCCTCCCTTTACCCTGCCTTGATCTCTGAAGTGAATTACTGCTGTATTTTTCTTTCCACATTTCATAGGTAAAAACTAAATAAAGATAAGAAGAGGTCTGCATTTTACTAGTACTCAGCTAAAGCTGCAGTTTCATTATACATAGAATGGAAACTCCTTGAGCTCTTAGCTGGCTGACAACAAGTTCCTAATATTAAAACAAACGAACAAAAATATCAACCTGAGAGCAAAAGAAACTGCTAAGTGTTGGTAGATCTATTAAAATTTCCACAGTTTGTAGTTATAGACTGTGAGGGAGCACCTGTCAAAAATTACAGGGTTGGGGGCCTGGACGTTGTGTTTTAGAAAACCTTCATGCAAGCAAAGTGGACACTAAGCATCTCCTATTCCAGTGACATGTACCAGGTATGTGCCCGGTTACTCGAAGAAATAATTCACAATCCAACTTGTGCACACTCTTCCACACAGTTCTCACTTCTTTGTGTTCAGTTACCTATGCTCTTATCCTTTTTGTCTTGGTTTTGGTTCCCTTCCCCAAGTTCCCTTCACTTAACAGACATTTTTTCCAGACTTCTACATGAAGTTTTCCGCTTAAGAGATTTGTCTGCTCATATTAGCGCACAAGTGATTCTTAGAAATATCTGAATCCTTGAAGCTAGTAACTGCAGAAATAAATATAATAATTAATTATATTAACAATAATTATAAAAATTACTAAACTTCCTTGTCAATTAACAATTTTTGTCTCCCTTCATGCAGCTTACATTTGAAAAAGGAAAAAAAAAAAAAGGAACTTGAGCTTCTGCAATCTTTGTTGATCACATGAGTATTACCCTTTCCTAATGCCTTTGTCTTCTAGCTGATTAATCTCATACTCTCTCATTGAGGATTTTGAAGTTGTGTTCCTTTGGTGCTCAGATGAAAAGAAAGAAGATACAGTGTAGATTAATGTTGTCTTGAGTGGGTTATGTCATGTTACATTCTCCCCTACACCTCAGCTGAACCACTGGAAACCACTTTGATGCTGTTCTCTTCTGCTCCAGTTTGTGATTTCTTCCAGAATCTAATCAGTCACACCTGGAAGCGCAAAGAATATGGTATGTTTAAACTTTTATTTTAAATTTGCTCTTAGACCTTTTTGACTGGAACTGTTGTGGAAGATTTTCAAGAAAATATTCTTCTTCTCTGTTTTCCAAATGGTTCAGTTTACTGTTATGGTTAGAAGCTGCAGAAAATTATGAAAGTAAAGGATTTATCTGTATTCCTGTACTTCAGAATGAGTGTAATATATTTTCTACTTGCTGTAACTTCTGAGGTGTTCCTCTAGCCTTTCCCCCATGAACAAATATATGGAACCCCAGCAGAAAACCTTCCTTCAGAAACATATAGCTGTACTGTTGCTGAATATTTGAAGAACACCCTAAATCATTATGAGTTTATGCACATGCCAGTTAAGACCAGTATATTAGTTCTTTTCCAACTTCTTATACAGCCAAGCATAGATCACAGAGAAAAGAACAGCTCCCATGCTCTAGCTGTACTATTAAGCAAGCCTCTCATTGCAAAGACATTGCACAAGACAGCATTGCTTTTTCCTCTTATTTAGAAGACTTTTTGTTTGTTCTGGTGCTATAATGGATGTGAGGTTTCACACATGTAAATAGCCAGATACAGCACCAGAATGTAACTCTTTACAGTTCAAATAGCAAATGCATTAAAAAGATAATCAGGAAAGGGAAGAATATACAAAGAAGTGAAGCACAAAGAGCTAGGTTGGCTCTGCAACCACACTTAGGTCCCTAAAAAAACCTGAACTACATGAGAAACATACAAACATATTCATGAAGACTTTCAAACCCCAGATTCTTTGCACCTGGTTCCAGGCACCTAAATGTGCAGTGTTACTCTCTGATTGGTGTGTAGTAAGCCAGAGCTCTCTCCATCTTCAGTGCCAAGCAGCCTAGGTGAATGACAATAAAGTGAGAAACTTGGGTAAGCACCTAAAATTAAGGGTCTGCGTGCGATGGCTGCATTCAAGTTCATGTAGAAAGTTTGTGTCTTCAATCTAGACTGCAATCATGCCTTGCCCATGTCATCCTCTAATGCTTGGACAGTGTTTATTTTGGTTTATCACAACTTTAAAGGTTGAATCTAATTAGCTTTTCCTCCTGTTGCATTAAGTATGCAGCAATTTGGCATAAAATAACCTCCATTGCCTTCCAGCTAGTCCACAGAAATCAGAGGGGCTGGGTGTGTTTGGGCTTAATTTCTGATTTGAGCCAACTAAGTACTACTAAGTCTGGTCAGGTTGCCAGATGCAATAGTCTGATTTACACTACAAGCCTCATCTCATTCCTGAACAGACTCACCAGTTTTGTGAGTATTACTGATTTGTCACTGCAAGTCTGGTTTAGTTCAATAAGAACTTCCAAGAACACAGATTCACCAACAATGCAATTTATTGGATAATTGATAAATACACTAGACTTGCAACATACAAATGTACAGTGCTATGTAAGTGCTCCCAGTGTAAATCTTACCAAAATAAGCATCCCTTAAGTTTTGTGAAGAGAGAGAAATAACTCCATTGACTAGTCCGTGAAATGGCTGTATTCTCAAACTCTGCCAATAAAGATTTCAAATGCCAGTTTATACTTTTGGGAGAAGCGGAAGCAAGACTGTGATCAAATGTTCTGTTACTGCCGTCTTTAATGGGGGACAGAGAGAAGCCACTTATATGTAAATGAGGGATATCAAGAGCAACAAAGCAATTGCAAAGACTTTAGGTCTTCCACAAGGAAAGTACAGAATTGTGAAACTTTAGCATCACTTCCTCTTCTACCTGGCTCACTGAGGGTAAAAGGGTTACCCATTTCTGCCTGATAACATATCACACTTCAGCACACCATCATGCCCAGTGTAATCCCTCACCCTCAGATCTCATGGAAATCCCTTTACCACATATATAACAGCATATCTCATGACTGTAGGCCTCATTCCTACAACTTCCTTGTTTTAAAGGTGGACTTTGGTGTGCAGTGGCTGCCCTCTCTGACTTGCCCTCTCTGACTGCAGGTTCTGTGTCCATGGCTGGTGACCACCAGCACTTCATGGTCTATGGTGGTGTGTATCGTCAGATGTACAGTAAAGGGTACCCATGTGATGGAGCAAAATGTCTTGCACTGCAAGGAGTCTCTATGGCTTCCCTATCAGATCTCTGCTATGCTCCATGGGCACTTGCCTTGGTTAATGTTCTTGACCCTGGGGTACATTGCTTTGGAATAAAAGATGGACACAGGAAAATGCTGGGATATCATGGGCCATTTGGCTAGGCTAGACACTCATTAGTCTCATGACGTTCTTTACATGCATAAAATGCTGTGTCCTCAGGGGGAAACAAAAAAGAAAGGAAATACCAGTGTATGCCTCTTCAAACTTCTAATCCTACCTGCACATCCATTCTTGGTCAGTGTGAGACAAAAAACAGAATTTAGCTGTAAAGTTGGCCTACGGAAAAACTCTGGATTTAAGCAGAAACAATGTATTTTTTGTTAACCCCTCAGACTTCCAAGGACTTCGCTCCCTCAAATGTCTCAACTTGTCAGATAATGCAATAAGTCAAACTTTAAATGGAAGTGAATTCTCTTACTTGTCTGAATTGAAATATCTGGATTTTTCTAACAACAGGGTTGATTTGCTATACCAAACTGCTTTCAAAGAACTAAAACTTTTAGAAATTCTAGATCTGAGCAATAACCAGCATTATTTTCTGGCAGAAGGTGTTACTCATGTGCTTAGTTTTCTGAAAAACCTAGTCCATTTGAGGAAGCTGATGATGAATGACAATGACATTTCTACCACTATTGATACGGGAATGGAAAGTCAATCTCTTCGAATTTTAGAATTCAGAGGAAATCGTTTAGATGCTTTATGGATGGATGGCAATGCTAGATACTTGTCCTTCTTCAAGAATCTGACCAGCCTGGAAGAACTGGATATTTCCTTCAACTCACTCACTTTTTTGCCTCCTGATGTTTTTGAAGAAATGCCTCCCAGTCTCAAGATCCTCAACTTAACCAATAATCGACTGAAGAGTTTTATCTGGGGAAACCTCCCCTCTCTGAAGAACCTAGTGACTCTGGACCTGAGCAATAACCTTCTGACTAATGTTCCCCGAGAACTGTCCAATTGCACTTCATCTCTCCAAGAACTGATCCTCCGAAACAATCGCATTCATAGGTTGACTAAATATTTTCTCAGAGGTGCTTTTAAACTGAGATACTTGGACCTCAGCTCAAACAAGATTGAGATAATTAAGAAATCTAGCTTCCCTGAAAATGTCATTAACAACCTGAAGATGCTGCTTTTGCATGGCAATCCTTTTAAGTGTAACTGTGAGGCTGTGTGGTTTGTCTGGTGGATCAATCAGACGCAGGTGACCATTCCTCTTCTGGCCACTGATGTCACCTGTGCTGGCCCAGGGGCACATAAGGGAAGGAGCGTGGTTTTCTTGGATCTCTACACCTGTGAGCTGAACACATCATATTTTATTCTGTATGCTCTGTCATCTTCAGCCATCCTTGCCTTAATGGTGTTCACAGTGATGAGCCACCTCTACTTCTGGGATGTGTGGTACAGCTACCATTACTGCACTGCCCGGCTGAAGGGCTATCGGCGCTTGCCTTCGCCTGCTGCTTGCTACGATGCCTTTATTGCCTACGACAGTGAAGACCCAGCTGTGAACGAGTGGGTGCTGCAAGAGCTGGTTGAAAGGCTGGAAAACCAAAAAGCCAGGCAGTTCAATTTATGCCTGGAAGGAAGGGACTGGCTCCCAGGACAGCCAGTCTTTGACAACCTTTCCCAGAGCATTCAGCTGAGCAAAAAGACCATATTTGTGCTGACCAACAGGTACATTAAAAGTGGCCGCTTCAAGACAACATTTTATATGGCTCATCAGCGGCTTCTGGATGAAAAAATGGATGTCATTATCTTGATATTTCTTGAGAAGGTTTTGCAGAAGTCCCGCTATGTCCGTCTGAGGAAGAGGCTGTGCAGAAGTTCAGTCCTGGAATGGCCAACTAATCCTCAGTCTCAGCCCTACTTCTGGCAGTGCCTGAAAAATGCCATAGCTACGAGCAATTCTCTGGCTTACAACAAGCTTCTCCAAGAAACTGTTTAGCTCTACTCTCCCTGTCAATATTGTTATGAAGCACAAGATCAAATGACCCCAAATAAAAGATCCTGAACTTCATCTGCAGAAACTGTCAAAGCCTGGAAGTTATACCTCTTTGACGTATATACCCCAAGATGAAAGGCACTATTACTTTGAAATCCAGTAATACAAAATTGAATAGAAAATGTTGCCAGAACAAATATTTAGTTGTCATGTACTTTGCTTTGCACTGATCTCTGCACTGGAAGGGCAGGTTCTAAAATGGGAAGGTATGTGAGATCAGGTTCTGTAGAGCTTGCAGGCTGCTTTGTGAAAGCAAGGAGGGGGAGCAGGGCAGCAGAGAGGCAGAGGAATAGGCACAAGGCAGATGGGGAAAATCCAGAGACTATACAAAGAAAGGAAGGGAAAAGAAAAAGAGAGAAATTGGAAAAGGTGCTAAGAAAAGAGGAAAATGTGGCTACACTAATGCATAGCCGGTTCAGATGCATTTACTGCTAATCTCCAAATAGATTTCTCACTTTGCCTTTCATCTGCCTCCTGGGCTTTTGGCTGAGCTGGCTCCTCCCTGAAGACTTTAGGGCTCCTCTCTAATGTTGTAGTATCAGTTTGAGGACCTTTTCCACCCAATCCTGGAGTGACCACCCTTTCTGTATCTTGGGTGTTAGCTGCTCTAGCCAGGCCTGGAGCCTGAAGAATACCACTTGTCCCCAGAAGAAAATCTAAACAGAATTTGCAAGTGAAAAGCATGTAAGATGAAGTCACGCAAGGAAAGCATTATTCCCACTGTTTCTTTAACTGTGGTTCTCCAGAGAAGCCTTAAGCTCTTCTTCATCTCCTTGTTCCCCAGGCAGGTCCCTCTTCCACAGCAGCTGATGGGACACTACTAAACACTTGAGATAGGAATGGGTCTGGCTTTAGGGACATCCTGAAGAAGTGAAGAAAAATAAACACTTGTGCTTGTTCCCCACTCTGTTTCACAGTACAGACTCATTGAACACATGAGAGTATTTCAAGTGAAACCTTTTGTAATGGCAGCCTAAACCTCTGAGTATGACACAGGCAGGTTCTCTGCTTGATGTGATTATGTCTGTTTTTCGAGAAGCAGCACATTTTCACCTTGCTGAGTGCTTCTGTCTGCAGCAGTCTGGGCAGCTTCTCCCCTCTTGATCAAAGTTCTTTTCTGGCAACTAGTCTCGTTGACATCTCTGGCTGATGTTGTCATTGTTAAGTGCTTTAAACTTCTTTATTTCAGATGCCACTTCCATTTCCTTACCTAAGTGTTCTGGCTGATCTTTTCTTTTGGCAACAAGACAGAAAAACAAAGAAACACAAGAAAAGAAACTTTATTTAATAATATAACAGATAAGAAGGGTTTTTCTCAATTTTTCACAACATTTTTATTGATTAAATACAAAAGTAGGAAAAAGATGTGGGCCTCGTTAAAAAGGGAGTTTTAGAGTTTTATTTTAGAGTTTTATTATAGAGTTTTAGAGTTATATTTTAATAATGTGTATTTCTGGTGGTTTTGTTTGTAAGCCAAAACAATCTGTATGTCTAAATATAACATGAACTGTAATGTGTCTCTGTCCATAAGGTAATACTTGAAACAGGAACCTCTATCCCACAGTTACTCCCACACCATCTCCCCCTGCTTCCCCACAAAACATCTATTTGGAGCAGATCCTCTTTCTCAGCCTGACTGACAAGGCCAGGAACTCCAGGTCACTTAGCCTTTCTGAAGTTGAGAGGAGAGGTATTTTTTCCTCTTCCATTGAGAAGCATGCAGAGGATGGATATGAGATGAGTAGCAATAAGTAAAAATTAAGGGAGGTGACTGGGAAAGGTATCCTCCTTGATTTGTTGCTTGCTAACAAGAAGGTCTCATGTGTGAATTGGTGATTGGTGGACATTTCGGATCATGAAGCAGTTGAATTTAAAATACCTAGTTACAGGAGAAAAATAGCCAGGAAAATTCTGAATGTGAGAAGAGTAGACTTCAGACTGCTTAGGGAAGTAGTTTGTAAGGCCCCTTGAGAAAATGGTTTTGAAGATGCTGGGATCTACCATTGTGGTCAAAATTTAGACACCCCCTTCTCAGAGCAGGGGAGCATTCCAAATAATTCCATAATTCCAAAATGCTGGAAGTCAAACTGGTGAGGCAGAAGGCTGGCTTGGCTGACCAGGGATTTTTCTCTGGAGCTAAAGCAGATAAAAGAAAGAGTATGGCCAGTGAAAGCAAGGCTGGGTGACTTGGGAGGATGTTGTGGTTTAACCCCAACTGGCAACTAAGCACCACACAATCACTCACCCACTTTTCCCTCCACCCTGGTGGGATGGGGAAGATGAATCAGAAAAGAAATCTAGCACTTTCTGGTTGAGATAAGGACAGTTCAGTAGTTGAAATGAAGTAAAATACAATATTGCAACAACAAAAAATAGTAAGAAAAAAGGAAGAGAGAGACAGAGGGGGAGAAAGAAAACCCATGAATGACAAGTGAAGCACAATTAATAGCTCACCACCTGCTTACTGATGCACAACCCATCTTCTGTGTTATGCCACCAGTTTATATACTAGGCTTGAAATTCTATGGCACAAGATATCACTATGGGCAGTTCAGGTCAGCTGCCACAGCTGTGCCCCCTCACTTGGGCACTTCTCTCTGGCAGAGCTTGGATCTTGCTTACCTGGTTGGTATAGCTGTGTCCAAATTACAAACTACTGAAGAGTTCTGAGGTTTCTGTATATCAGGGTTTTGTGATGGTATAGCTTGTGATCTGGTGTGAGGGCAGTTAGGAGGAGGAACTATGGATTTTTGGCCAATTTAAAAGTGGACTTCTACAGCTGCATTAACAAGTCTATGTGTCATTCTCCCTTCAGAGGTGAGATCACCGAGACATTTTATGAATATCTCACCTTAATGCAGGAGTTTAAGAGGGATGCAAGGTGCAATTATTTTAATTGCAATCCAAATTTAGGATTTTTCTCCATTAACTCTGTAGGTGTTTGCATTGAGAATACTTTCAGTAAGGCAAGGTGACTGCTGCTCCAGGATTACATGTGCAACAAGTTGGTCTTAAATAACCATGTCACATGGACATCAAAGCATCTGATGTAGTAAAAACACCCATTGTGATGACAAAAGAATGTTCTGCATCAATTGCTACTTCCTTAAAGAAATTGTAACAGGCCATGGCTAGATTTGGTATTTTGCATGTTGACTCAGCCCAGTGATCTCTGGGAGAGGGACACACTGAACTTTGAAGGATAACTCAAAGTTTTGTAAAGGTTGGCAATTAGATCCAAAGAAAGAGGAACCTAAGAGCACAAAATAAACATAATTTCTCAAAGCTGTATTCCATTGTTAGGAACAAAAAGAATTAATTGACAATTCCAGTCTGGCAATGTTCTTAAAAATTTTTGCATTAGTAATTTTACACACAATGAGTGATTACCAATGTATAATGAAAAAATGTTTCATTCTCTTGGATAGGGCAGTTCTTCTTTTCAAAAAGAAAAATAAAAGCTCAGTCATGTTCTCATACCTACTTACACATTTTTTTTTCTGATTCTGCTACAGGGCAGAGGGCTCAGACAGGACTTTAAAGGCAAACTTGGCATAAGAGAGCCTAAGCCTCATTGGCAATCCTCCTAACTAGTCCTCTTGGTCTGGAGGTAGAGTTGACATTTCACTAAGTGTAAGCTTGAGAAGGATGACCAAAGACAGTGACTGAAGGACAAGGGAAATTCTCCAGAAGCAAAGACCACTCAAATGAAAGATAAACTAATCAGGATAGCACACAAAGAGAACTTAATACCTCATTGCCTTGTGAATTTTTAGGGTTTTTTCCCTCTAATTTCTGAGTCTTCCTCTAAGTATTCTTAACTCTGATCTTTTGTGATTTGTTATATACTGAATATTGTTCAGGGGAAAATTAGTCTAAAATTGTATTAATTTATAAATTCCTGATAATAAATTCCTGATAACTAAAATAATTTATAACTTCTCTCTCCTTCTCTCCCTCTCCCTCTGTGTCTTGTTTCTCCATGGCAATAAGTTGTCATTCCTACAGCAGAGCACAGTAGCTGTTGCACTGTAGTACAATGCAACTGTTTTTCAGAATATGAAACTTTCTTGTAGTGTAAATGAACGGCAAATGCATGTTGGCTGAATGAAACACTACAAACTGGAGAATGAGATGAAGGGATTGGGTGCACCCTTGGCAAATTTTCAGATGTCAGCAGCAGTTGAGTAGTGCAGTTGATGCTCCTGAAAACACAATTCATCCAGAAGGACCTGGGCAGGCTCAAGAAATGGGCCCATGGAAATATCTTGTGTTTAGTAAGACCAAGTGCAAGATGCTGCACCTGGGTCAGGGCAACTCCCAGTACCAACACAGGATGGGGAATAAACAGATGAAGAGCAGCCCTGCCAAGAAGGACTTGGGGGTGCTGGTGGATGAGCCAGCCTTGACATGACCTGGCCATGCAGACTCGTGTTGTCACACATCACTTGGCAAACTAACCAGCCCCTGGGCTGACTGACAGGGGCTTTGCCCAATCACATCTCTCCCAAGGCTGCGGATATTTCACTGGCCAGAACCTGAAGGGGCATAGATATCAGACCAATGGAAATATCCAGACCAGGCTTTTCCAATGCCCTTTTTAAGGAAGGGCTTGAGGATAAACTCTCCCTGTTGCCACGTGAACACTGGGGTGAGTGGTCTCTCTCTCTAACCCACTACCCCCCATGCTGATGTTACAGACTTTCAGCCCAGAAAACCAAACACCCCCTGTGCTGTATCCAAAGCAGCGTGGCCAGCAGGGTGAGGGCAGGGATTCTGCCCCTCTGCTCCACTCTGGTGAGACCCCACCCAGAGCACTGCATCCAGCTCTGGGATCCCCAGCACAGTAAGGATGTGGACCTGTTAGAGCAAGTCCAGAGGAGGCCACCAAGACAATCAGAGGGATGGAGTGCCTCTCCTATGAGGAAATGCTGAAATAACTGGTATTTTTCAGCCTGGAGAAGAGAAGGCTTTGGGATGACCTAATTGTGACCTTTGAGGCCCTGAAGGGAGCCTACAAGAAAGATGAAGAGAAACTTCTTACAAGTTCCTCTTCAAGGAGGACAAGGGACAGTGTCTTCAAAGTGAAAGAGGGTAGGTTTAGGTTAGATGATAGGAAGAAATCCTTTCTGTGAGGGTGCTGAGACATGGGAACAGGCTGCCCAGAGAAGTTGTGGTTGCCTCATCCCTGGAAGTGTTCAAGGCCAGATTGGATGAGACCCTGAGGAACTTGGTCTAGTGGAAGGTGTCCCTGTCCATGGCAGGGGTTGGAGCTATTTTATCTACAAGGCTTCTTCCAACATAAGCCATTCTATTCTATGTTCGGAAGATTGGAATCTGAGATTGATGTATTAAATTCTTGAGGAAGAGTATTTTTGAGACAGTTAGTTCTTCCTGAATCCTCACATTCTGGTCTGCCCATCACCACATACCTGCCCACCCATCACTTGGACATAACGATTTTACTTGTTATTTTTCATAACACATTTTGTTTTTCTCCTCCCTTATTTCACTTTCACTTTGTATATTATGAGGGAACTGCAGAGCAAACAAGCTGACTCAACATTGATCTCAAATGTCAATATTCTCATTATTAGATGACAAAATAACTCGTGCTAGCTATCCAGTATGAGATATTTTGTGTGAATATGCATTAAATAAAAGCACATCCAGGAAACACTTCATGTCAGTCTACAGTGAGGGTGATGACACACACCTGTATTGCATATCCAGACACATTTCTTCATCTAACTCAAATAAAATCACTGTATTAGCTGCCAGCATTTCTTTCTCATTTCAACAAATAAACAGTTATCTCCTTCAGCACAAATTCATATTTACAATTTTTTTCTTAATTATATAAGTGGTTTGAGTAATTTTTCATTTTCATGGTTATGTGTCACAGTGGAATACCTGTGCTAGAGAATTGCATTATGTTTCAGATCTGTTGCTGCATGTGATCCAGCTGTTAGTGTGAATAAATATTGAATTATCAGTGTAGAGAAATTCAAAACATTTTCATCATTTAAGCTTCTCCTTCAGGCCAATTTTTAACCTACTGGAGAGGATTTGAAGGTTTTTAACAGCTAATGCCAACACTTTCTACATGTTCTATTCACGTGAAGGTGTTTGCCCTGAAGTAAATGATCAGAGTGCAATCAAATTTCACCTTGGTCACTTTAATACAGACTATGAGCACACTGCTTGATCTGTACTACAGGATTAATACCTTATTTTAGTATGTAAAAAGTAGAATCAACAAACTTTGACTTCAAGTCAGGCCATGGGACAGCTAAAGAAAGAATGATCCTAAAATCATGACTTTTAAAGAGGATTTTAGCAGTTTTGAGAAACTTTAGATTTTGATACTGGACTGAAATTGGCACATTAAGTGCAAAGAATGTCACCAGGAAAGGTCTTCAGCCTATGTATTGATTAAATGCAATTTTCTCACATTTAAAAAAGTTGAAGGATTTACATCCTAATGGAGACAGTACCTAGAGGCCCTCCACCTACTGCCTGATTAGGTCTCATGCCCGTCAGCATCTTTTCCTTTACAACACCTTCTCAGCCTTGAAGGAAATTAGTGGGGGTTAGAACTGGGACTTTAGTGAACTCTA